TGTGTGTGTGTGTGTGTGTGTGTGTGTGTGTGTTATTGTATCAACATACAAAAGACGTGACAGAAACAACATAAGAAATTGGACATGAGAGGAAAATTAAATAAAGTGAAATTAAACAGGAGGAGGAGGAAGAGAGGCAAAGGAAGGGCTGGCCTGGGGCACTGGCTCAGTGGTTCAGAGCCCTTGCTCCTCTTCCAGATGACCTGAGTTCAGTTCCTAGCACTCATGTCAAGAGTCAAACAACTGCCTGTATCTAGGGGACAGAGCACACTCCTGGCCTCTTTGGGCCCCTGCACACATATGGCACACTGCCACATAAACACATACACATACATAGAAATAAAAGTATATTTTTAAACAAAACAGAGAAAGAGGGAAGAAGAGGAAGAAGAGATCATTTTGTCCCACAATTTGCTAGGGTTTTAGTCCTTCATGACTGGAAGGGAATGGTGGAGCAGTTCATATCATAGTGACAGAAATACATGGCTGGGGCTGTTCACATCAGGAAGTAGACTAAGGCAGGAACCAGAAACGGGTCTATAACCTTCAAAGGCTCTTCCCTAGTGACCTGTTTCCTTCATATAGCATCACCAGCCTGGGAACAACATTCAAAATATGATGCCATGGGGAAGTTCATATTTAAACTACATGTCCATGTGTGTGTATATATGTGCACAGATGTGCACTTTATGAGCCTTTAGAATACTGCATGACTAAGGAGGAAAGAGGTCAAATTGATGACGCTCTATTCTTTCCATGGGAAGGTGACTAACCTAGGGAAATAAGGTGAGAGAGGGCATAAGCTGGATGAAGTTTACTGTCAAAGCCCAATAAAGCCTAGAATACTGTGTGAGTGTGTTGATGTCGATAAACGTCAGCAGTGTTAGTAATGAACAGGCATACACCAGACCCATTTGTCTGTGCCACAGGTGTGGGATGATCTACATGGAGGCCCACCAGCTGGGCTGGAAGCCCTTGAAGGACTCGTACATGGACACTTTGCCCCCCTGTCTCACCAAGGAGCACCTAGAACTGGTGAGAGTCTGGGACACTCCTTCTCTACAATCATTCCCTACGCATCTCATGGACCTTGTAGGCATACCTTCACCTTCATCGTCCCTCCCTTTCCTGCCAGTCCCTTTATATTGTTCCCGGGCTGCCTGTCATTTTTTTTTACTTTCTTCTTCATGGTAGGGATGGAATGGTACAGTCTATTTTTAGTTCCTATTCCACCTTCTTCCCAGTGGGGAATACCAGAGCCAAGCAATGTTCCTGAGGGTGACCAAGGTGTCAGTCTTTTCTTCTACCATTCCACTAGCAAAAATGTCTATAGCTACAGTCCTAGAGACAGCACCTTAGAAGAGCCACGTCCCTCTGTGCTGCCACTTTACACTCTGTGTCCCGCTCTCCAAACCTCCAACTAGGAGGGAGACAGTTAGAAATGTTCTCCTTATGGGTATGACAAGTGGGAGTCGCCTTTCCCTTCCTCCCAGCATAAAAGAAGTAGGAGAACTAGGAAGATGGCTCAGTTGGTAAAGCCCTTGCTGTGAAGCTCTAACACCCATCTTAAAACAGAAGTGAATGAACAGTGCATGCTGTGGCATATAACAATAATCCCAGTGCCAGAGAAAGCGTTTTGGAACTTTCCAGTCAGCCAATCTAGTCAGACTGGTGAATTTCAGGTTCAGGGAGACCCTGTCTCCAAAAAGAAAGTGGAATATGATTGAAGAAGACTCAAACTGACCTCTGGCCTCCACATGCCTAAACACATATGTGAGCATGTCTCTGCACACAGGTACCCACACCATACACATACAAATAAACAGAAATAGGAAAGTTCAGGCTATGTAGGTAGCTGACCACATTGTCAGAATAGGGAAGCCAGAAGGGAGAGCCTGTATTTCTGGTGCCTCTTGTCCTCCTTTGCTTAGGAAAATCTCCCATGAAGGAAGCCAAAAAGGGTTGGATTCCATCCTACTATGGAAATACTCAGGAGGGTTATGTAGGACAATCCTATGCCCATCATCATGCATATTCACATATAATATATATGACCACATGCATTTATAGAAGTACATGTTCACATACATACCCAGGGACCAACACACACACACACACACACACACACACACACCGCTGCCAAGACCTTATACCCATCAAGTCCATTGGAGACTCCACCATGTCCTCAGACCCCTCATCAGAGGCTGTGGCCCTGCTTTGCCTGCCTCAGCAGCCTGTCAGCTCCCTCTCCAGTCCTGTCTCATTCCTGGGCTATCCTGTCTTGTTTCCATTCCTAGGAAACTCAGAGCACCTATGTCTTGTATTCCTCATACAGACATCTTGCCCAATCTAGACCTTTGTCATCCAGGTCACAGTATGTAATCTCCTTGCTGGGCATGTAGCTCAATGACTGAGTGCTTGCCCAGCATGTGAGGTCTCCTGGGTTCAAATCCCACTGCCACAGGGAGGAAAAAGCTACACAAGTTTCCTCCTCCAAGAAGCCTTCCCTAAACCATCCTGTTATTCCTGTTATTCACCACATAACACTTTTGTTTCCTGCTGAGACTTCCCATGACCTGTAATATATTTGGTTCTTTGCTTATTGTCTGTCTCCTCCTCCTCCTAGCAGGGGCTGGGTCTATCTTCGCTACTATTCATCCCCAGCACTATTTACCACAATGCAATCAGTAAGTGTTCAATAATATTTGTTCACTAAATAAATACAGATGCTTTTTTATTTAGTGAAAAAGCACATTTAAAATACCATAGCTTTAAATTTTCATTTAGTCTATCTAAAGTATCAAATATCATAGGTTAGCATCACAGTGCACCCTAAAGAGTGAGTTACTTGCCCTGGTGATCATGTGGCAGTCTAGGAGCCACCACTCACTGCTGCAGCTTTGCATCCTGAGAGAATACCATTTGGCTAGCCCAGAAAAAAGATCAAGACACCAAATTTGAAGGATGTAAATTTTGAAACAGCACTCAAAAGCAGCCAGCAATTGCACAAGCATCTTCAGCCTCCCTGGTAGGTCAAGCTCTTTGTCTCCACATTCTCAAGAAGCTTTCTCCTCTCAGGTTGAGGACATGTTCACGTGGCTTGTCCAGCCCTGCCTGGACTTTAATCGTATGCATGGCAAATTTGTGGTGCAAACATCTCCTATCCACCTTGCCTTCTCGATGATGCGGCTATACTCCTCTCTGCTTGGTAAGTGTCCCACATGGGGCTGGGTGTGTCTTGGCTCATGCTTTTGCTCTCAACCCTCTTTTCCTCCTCTTGAGTTACAATGGGACCAGATGTTTATCAAGAACAAGAGCACTTTGAATTGTAGATGGTGGAGTTTATGGAAAGAACCTTGTGCTTTGTCTCCTATTGATTTGTTGCTAGCACACAAAGTTGATCCCTTCCTTTCTTCTCCCACCTAAGGGTCCTCTTCCACACAGGAGGAGCTTCTCCTCCACACAGGGATTTTGTTGACACATTTGAATGTTTCCCTGAAAAAAAAAAGTTGGAAAAATAGAGAAGTTTTCATTTGTTAAGAAAAAATATGGGGTCTGGAGAGATAGCTCAACCAATGCTTACTCAAAAATGCTTACCACAACATCGTGAAGATCTTAGTTTGATCCCCAGAAACTACATAAAAAGGGCAGGCATGGTGGTGCACACTTGTAATTCCAGCACTGGGAAGGTTTAGACAGATGGATCCTCGAGTCTCACTGGCCAGCCCAACTAGCAAATTCAGAAACTTGCAGGCCAATGAGAGACTCTACTTCAAAAACAAAGTGGAATACTTTGAGGAATAACACCCAAGGTTAACCTCTGTCCTTCGTGCACAAGCGCGAAAAACTCAGTGGCTTTTCTTATTCCCCACAAACACACACACACACACACACACACACACACACACACACACACACACGTACTCACACAAAAAGGAACACACACATAATCACACAAAAGAAAGAAAATTTACAAATACATACATTTGCAACACAAATGCATTAGATGAGAACTAGCCATATCAATTTCAAAACCAGGAAACTTCTTTAGGGGACAGTAGTTCTGTGATTTATGTACCTCTGAGGTGTGATCACACATTTCCATAACTTCTGGCACACAAATCAGATGTCACTGACATCTGCTGCCGATGACAAAAGACGTGTATATTTGGAGAACTCTTACAGGATGCCACTTCTTTTTCAAGATAGCACATAACTCAAACCCAGACGGATTTTCTTTACAACTTTTGATACTTAAACCTATGTTCTCAGCCTATTTTTTCAAAAAAGCATTGTAAGTACAAACTAAAAATATAACATAGTTGACAGTGGAATGAGGACTTTCTAAATATTGCTTGATTTTTATAAATTAAACTCTGGGTACTCAAGAGATGGCTCAGTGGGTAAAGAGCTTGCTGCATATATTTATGAAGACCTGAGTTCAAATCCCCAGAACCCACATAAAGCCAGACATATAGCCCATCTGTAATCCCAGTGCTCTTGCATACACCGGGGTGAGCAACAAGAGACTGTGTCGAAGTAGAAGGTGAGAGCTAAGGTTGTCCCCGAACTTCCACAGGTACCCTGGGGCACATACACACCTGCACTCACACACATGAACATGCACATATATACATACATCCCACGTAGATTTTTTTAAACATAAGTTTGGGACTCTCTTTAGAAACATACCAGTTGTATTCAGTGACATATATTTACAATTCCTTTGTAAATGCTATGTATTTTCCCAAGTTCTGTCTGCTGTCCTTATATAGTTTCTCTTAAGTGAAGAAGCACCAGCATGAGAAATAGACTCATTGTTTCCAGATCCAAGTGATCTCATCATTTGCCTTCCCAAATCTGCCACCATGAAACTTCCCTCAAATACTCAACTACTGAAAACTAGAGACAGGGCTTGAACATGCATGTAGCTCACTCCAGAACTCTAAACTTCTGTTCTACCAATTAAAAGACAAGAACCTAGTAGCTGCAATGTTCGAGGCCTTAAGATGAGGAACCGAAAATGCTTCCAGACCAGGCAGGGCTATATGATAAGACACTGACTCAAAAATTAAAAATCACAAAAGAATTAGTATCAAGGACTGGGGAGATGCCTCAGTCAGTAAACTACTTGCCATACAAACAAGAAGAGCTGAGTTCAGTCTTCAGAAATGATGAGAAAACAGAGTGCAGTGGCACAAGCTTGTAATCCCAGCACTGGAGAGGTGGAGACACTGAATATGCAGGGCTCACTGACTGGCCAGGCCAGCTTCAGCATCAAACCCAGACCAATAAGAGACCTTGCCTCAAAAAGCAAGGTGGTAGGCCCTGAGGAGGGACAACCATGATTGGCCTCCATCATGCATGTGCACAAACATCAGAACATGTAAGTGTCCTCACAGCCACAAGAACACACACATGCACACACAAAGAATTAATATAGAGGATATAGAAAGAAATAACAAAACATAGGTAAAGGAATTGATGGACAGTTCTCCAAGAAGCTACACATGGTCAGGAATTACACGGAAAGGCTTGTCATCTCTAACCACTGGGCATATGTAAATCAATGCCACAGTGATGGAGACATCTCTTCATGCCTGTGAATGGCTGCAAATGGCTGTGATGGCTGCAAATAAAAATAAATAAATAACAAGTGTCTGAGAAGATGAAGAAATTCGGAGTCCTGTGGACTTAACAGACTGTCGCTGGGACTATAAAATGAAGCAGCTTGTCTGTCAAAATGTGTTGGTGGATTCTTTGAAAAAGAACCGTAGACTTGCCATATGTGATCAATATCCTGGCTTCAATGTATACACTCAATATAACTGAAAGCAGGGATTTGATCAGATATTTATAGGGCCATACCCATTCAGGTTGTTATCAACAGATGAATGGCTAAACAAGGGTATAATCACACAATGAAACATAATTTAGCATTTTGAAAAGGAAATATTGGGGGTTGTCTTAGTTAGGGTTTCTATTGCTGTAAAGAGACACCATGACCACGTTGACTCTTATGAGGAAAAACATTTAATTGGGGTAGCTTACATTTTCAGAGGTTTAGTCCATTATTATCATCATGAGACATGGTGGCATGGAGGCAGACATGGTGCTGGAAAAAGAGCTGAGAGTCCTACAGGCAACAGGAAGTGGTCTGACACTGGGCCTAGCTTGAGCAAAGGAGACTTCAAAGCCCACCCCCACAGTGACACACTTCCTCCAACAAGGCCACTCCTCCTAATACTGCCACTCCCTATGAGCTTATAGGGGCCAATAACATTCAAACTACCGCAAAGGTTGGAAAGAAGGGCCAGCAGTTAAGAACACTTGTTGCTCTTGCAGAGGACCTGAGTTCAGTTTCTAGCACCCATACAGCAGCTCACAACAATCTATAACTTTTATACAGGGAATCCAAAACTCTCTTCTGACCTCTGAGGGCACCAGGCATATATATTGTGCACATACATACATGTAGGGAAAAATATCCATGTAGCAGAGTTTCTTGGACTGCCAGCCCCAAAATCATGACATGGAGACTTATTGTTAGTTATGAATGCTTGGCCTTAATTTAGGCTTGTCTCACTGGCTCTTATGATTTATTTTAACCTGTTTATCTTTATCCACTTTTGCCTCAGGAATTTTTCCTTTCTTTTATTCTGTAAGTCCAGTTTTCTGGCTTCTTCTATGTCTGGCTGGCTGGTGGCTGCCTGGCTGCCTGGCTGGCTGGCCCTGGGGGGGTCTCCCTCTCTTTCTTCCTTGTTCTCTCTCCCAGAGCCTAGATTCCTCCTACTACTTATTATCTCTTCCCACCAGCCCTTCCTGTCCCTCTACTGCCTAGCTATTGACCATTCACTTATTAGACCAATTAGGTGCCTTAGGCAGGCAAGGTGAAACAAATGTAACACATCTTTACATAGTTAAACAAATGCAGCATAAAAAGTAACACATCTTAACATAGTTAAACAAATGTACACATTTTACATAGTTAAACAATTCTGCAGCACATCTTTACTTAGTCTATTCCACAACATATCCATGCACAAAAAATCAAATTATAATTTAATAAAAATAAATTAAGAAATCAATGACAAGTACAAAATTGGTAAAGCCTGAACATATTATGCTAAGTGAAATAAGCCAGTCACAAAAATAACTGACTTCTGTAATGTGCTTAGGGTAGTCAAAAATGGAGACAGAAAGTAGGATGCTGGCTATGTAAGCAGTGGAGAATGAGTTATTGGTAGTGGTACCAAATTCCAGTTCTAGATAAGGGAGCACCAGATGCGAATGGTAATGATGGCTGCCCATGTGAATATACTGAATACCTCTGAAATGTGTACTTTAATAGTTAATATGGCAAACTTTATGTTATGTTTAACCACAATGAAAGAATATATATGCAAGTATGAGGACCTGAGTTCAGATCCCCTGAACCCAGGTAAAAAGCTAAGAATGGTAGCTATTGCCTATAATTCCAGTACTCAGGAGGTAGAGACAAGAGCATCCCTGGAGTCCACTGGGCAACTAGTCCCACCAAATTAGCAAGCTCTGGGTTCAGCGAGAGGCCCTGTCTCAAAAATGCTCTCAAAAAGAGCAATTGAGGCAGACACCTAGCATCAACCTCTGACCTCTACCTGTGTCCTCAGACATATGAACACACGTGGATCTGTACAGAGACATAACACCCAAATGAGCATGTAGTCACTTTGTGAATACATATGTGATAAAGGCTCTGATATGGGATGGATGCTCAGCCAGCATCAGTCGTCTTCCCGGGCCCTTCAGCCAGCTCATCTCATACATGCTGAGCATCCTTGTTAACCTAAGCCTCCCTTTCTTTCACTTTCAGATGAGATCAGGAATGTAGAGGAGGAGGAAAGTGACATGTATGAAGGTCTGTCAAGTCAGCAGATCTTCCTCTGGCTACAAGGGCTGTTTCTCTTCTCCTTGGTGTGGACTGTGGCAGGTACCATCAATGCTGAGAGCAGAAAGAAATTTGATGTGTTTTTCCGCACCCTGATTATGGGCATGGATGATTATCACCCAAGGCCCAAAAGTGTGAAACTCACCAAAAACAACACATTTCCAGAAAGAGGTACGTATGCCCTGTTTTATGAGTTTAAATCATGTGTCACAAACCCAACTTAATGTGTGGGCCATGTAAGTCAAAAACTAAGGGAGTGGGGGGCCGCTTCTTCAGAGCTAACCCACATAAGACAGGAGTGGTCCTAAAATACAGTCTTAGGGACATTTAATTACTTTTAAATATAAAACCACAATTACAGTTTATTTTGGGAGGTGTTTGGGGATGTCATTGTTTTATTTTTGTAAGAACTATCATCACTTGACCACTCAGTAAAAATAAGAACTACCTCCATTTTGGTTTTGCCATTTTGTAGCCCTGTTCTATATGTTCACATGTTTCTTGTTTAGGGACCTTGTCATTAATGCTTCTTCCAACTTTGTGTTATGATGTAACATACTGAGGTATTTACAATTTTACTGTTATCTTCAAAATAGCTACAAATATTCTCTGATGTGAATAGTTACTAAAAGAGTAGTAGTTAATATTGACTTGATTTGGGGTTAGTAAGATGGTTCAGTGGGTAAAGTGCTGTGACTTTTACTTTATTTTAAATGTTCACTTCTGATAGACAAGAAAGCAGCCATCTTTGTACCTGAAAACATTGTCATATTACTAATAAGTTTCAGATGAATTTTCTTTGGGGGTCTCTCCCATGTCACCCTTTTATCGTGTCATATGGCTTCATTTCTTCCTCCCTAATTTTTTATCTCCATATCCCATTCCATTATTTAGAATCTCTAGTATGTTTTTGAACAGAAGTGATGAAAGGGGATCTTTGAGTCCTAAAAGGAAAAAAAACCCAACTTAGGATGATGGTGTCTGTGCTTGGCTGGAGCACATTCCATCTATTCCTAATTGGCTGAGATGTTTTTATCATGAGTGGGTGTCTCAGTTACTTTTCTACAGCTGTGATGATACACCATGACCAAAAGCAACTTGGGGAGGAAAGGGTTTATTTGGTTTAAATATCCTGAATCACAGTCTGTCTTGGGGTTTACTATTGCTGTGAAGAGACACCATGACCATGGCAACTATAAGAAAACATTTAATTGAGTATGGCTCGTTTACAGTTTCAGAGGTTCTGTCCATTATGATAGTGGTGGGAAGCATGCAGGCAGATGTGGTGCTATAGCTGAGAGTGTTACATCTTGCAGACAACAAGAAGTCTACTGGCCGACACCCTGAGGGAGACTTGAGAAAGAGACCACAAAGCCCACCCCCACAGTGACAAACTTCTTCCAACAAGGTCACAACTCCTTATAGTGCCACTCCCTTTGGGAGTCATTTTCCTTCAAACCACAATAGTCCATTGAGGGAAGCCAAGGCAGGAACTTAAGCAGGGAAGGAACCTAGAGGGAGGAGATGATGCACAGGCCATGGAGTGTTGCTTAATGGCCTCTTATGGCTCACCCAGATTCTAGCTTGGGTCAAGTTGACATAAATCGAATCAGAACAATTGATGCCTTGTCAACTTGACACACAAACACATCTCTGTTAAGCCATAACCTTTCCTTTCTTGTTTATCCCCAAGATCACACATTAATGTCAACATTATAAGACGTTTTACATAAAAATCCCACAGCCTTACAAATTCAAATACTTTAAAAGTTCAGTCTCTTTAAAAATCCAAAGTCACTTTTAAAATCAAAAATCTCAGTAAAACTCAAAAAATCTCTTTAAAAGTTCAAAGTCACAGCCAGGCATTGGTGGCTCACGCCTTTTATCCCAGTACTTGGGAGGCAGAGGCAGGTAGATCTCTGTGAGTTTGAGGCCAGCCTGGTCTCCAGAGCAAGTGCCAGGACAGGCTCCAAAGCTACACAGAGAAACCCTGTCTCAAAAAAAAAAAAAAAGAAAAAGAAAAAAAGAAAGAAAAAAGTTCAAAGTCACAACTGTGAGCTCCAGTAAAATCAAAAATATTAAATGCTTTATTGAATGAGGGAAGAATGAGGGCACAATCACAATCTAGACAAAGCAAAACCAAATTCCAACAGTGTAAATAACACAATGCTCGATGTCTGTGATTGTGAACATACAATCTTTTGAACTCCTCCGAAGGCACTTTTCTGCCTCTGCTGTCAGTAGCACATACAGCTTGCACCTTCTCTACTCCATGGCTGCTCCTGTTCTTGGAGGTCTTCCCATGGTACTTGCATCTCCAAAATACTTCGTCTTTTATTACAACTGGGCTGCACTTTCATCAATAGCCTCTTTTAGGCTATCTTCAGGATGCCAAACCTCCAATGACCCTTTCATGTAAAAGTGAATACCTCCTGGAAGAATCTTACACATTACCAAATTTGGCTGCCAGCACATGGTGGAACCTAGGCAACCTCTAGAACACAGTTTCTGTGCATTGACCCTGAGCAAACCCTGAGCAGAACATTCCACCTCAATGGTGCTGGTCTCTTCTTAATCACTGCTAATTTCTCAGCTCCAGAAGACCAGAATCAATTGTCTCAACAAAGCAAAGGTTTCACTTCATGGGGCTTCTTGTTAATCACAACTGATTCTTCAGCCCCAGCTGACCAGATGCCACAGATTCTTTATTCAAAATAACAATGGCCTAAGAACGTTTTTTTTTTTTCTTATAAAGAAAAACATTTAATGGGGTGGCTTACAGTTTTTAAACTTCCTCCTGAACTTCACAGGTCAGGCCTTCATCATCTACATTTCCATCAACATTCTTATTATTGTCTAAGCTCTTACAGAACAGCCCACTGAACTCTCACTACTCAATGGATTTTCTGGTCCAAAGTTCCAAAGTCCTTCCACAGTCCTCTGCAAAACAACATGGTTAGGTCTGTCACAGCAATATCCAACTCTCCTAATGCCAATTTCTCTCGGTTACTTTTCTACTGTGTGATGAAGTATCATGACCAAAGCCATTTGAAGAGTAAAGGGTTTTTTTTTTTTTTTCACTCTCACTCCCATATAACATTTCATTATCCAAAGTATTTGGGGCAGGAATTCAAGCAGGGCAGGAACCTAAAGATAGGAGCTAATGCAGAGGCCATAGAGGGTGCTACTTAATGACTTGCTCCTTATGGCTTGCCAAACCTAGCTTTCTAATAGAACCCAGGACTACAAGCCCAGGGGTAGCCCTTTCCACAACAGTCTTGACACTCCCACATCAGTCACTAATTAAGAAAATGACCCACAGGCTTGTCTACAGACCAATATTGTGGGGACATTTTCTCAACAGGGGTTCGTTCCTTTCAGATGACTCTAGTTTGTGTTGGATTTTATCAAATACTCACAAAAATCATATGATGTATTATTTTTCTTCTTTTCCATGTTAATAATGTGGATTATAGTCTATTTCCAAATGTTGAGCCAGCTTTACATGCCTGTAGTCAGTCCCACTTTGTCAATTTGCTGATGTTTTGTTGGGGCCTGTGTATGTGGATGAAAAATAGTTACCCTTTGTAAGATCTTTGGTTTTAGCATTTGGGTATTGACCTCACAGGAAAATGTGTGTTTCCTAGAAGAGATGATGGACACTTAGCATCATTTCTGAAATCTTAGATATCTTAGATATCTTAGATCAATGAACCCATCCTAGCCTGATGCTTGTGTTGCTTTTTTGTTTGTTTAGTTGGTTGGTTTTGGTTTTGGAGGCATTAACTGTGGATTCAGTTTCTTTAATAAATAAGGACATACACAAATTATCAACTTTTCTTTATGTTAATTTGGACAGAGTGTCTCTCAAAGAATTGAGCCTATCATATTTAAAGTATCAAATTTATGGGGTGTCCTTGTTTATGCATCCCTTCGATATCCTTTTCATCTCCATGGGAATTAGCAACAATAACCCCTCTTTCCTTCCTGATATTAACAATCTTTCTTTTTCCTTTTTTCCTGGTAACATTGGCCTGAAAGTGTATCAATTTTAATACTTTCTCAAAGATTAACTGCTTCAGGATTTGTGGATTTTTCTCAAGTAATTTTCTGTTGCCAATTTTATTGTTTTCTGTTACAGTTTTACTATTTATTTTGGATTAAACTTACCCTTATTTTTCTAGCTCCCTAAAATGTACTTACATTGTTGACTTTTAGATATTTCTCTCTTTCTGATATATGTAATTATTGCTAAAAGTCCCCAGTATAAATTGCTTTCACCCAATTCCATAGGTATTGAGACACATTTTAATTTGTATTTAGGTCATATTATTTTTAAATTTCTCTTGATACTTTTTTCCTTGTGTGTCTGTGGTGTGTGCTTGTATGTATACATGTTTGCATGTCTGTGGATGTGTATATGGATGTGTATATGGAAACACAGCTGATGTTGGTTGTCTTCTTTAGCTGCTCTCCACCTTATCCACTGAGGTAGAGTCTCTCACTTGAACACAGAGCTTGCCAGTATAGCTAGTTTGTTTAACCAGCTTGCTGTAGGGATCCCACCTCCACCTTCTGAGTGCTGAGATTACAGGCAGTCAAACCTGGTGTGCTGGGGATCCGAACTCTGGTCTCCACCATTGCTGGTTGTGCAGCAGAGCTTTAATCTCTGAGACATCTCCTTAGCCCTGGGAACTTTTTTGATTCATGTGTCAGTTTCATTTAATCTTGAAAGGACCTCAAGATTTTTTAGGTATCTTTCTCTTGTCAGTTTCAATTCTAATTCTGTTGTGTTCTTGAAGTATATACTATATGATATCTATTTTTTAAATGTTTTAAAAGTGTTTTATAGCCAAGAATGTGGCCTGTCTTGAACATTCCATGTAAGTTTGAGAAGAATGCATTGTCTACTGTTTCCAGATGAAGTGATTTATAAGTATTATTTACATTCAGTTGGTTTAGGATGGTCGTGTTCATTTTAACTATCCCTGACTCATTTTCTCACTGTTAATGACCTATAGATGTTATCAAGTGGTCTCAATTATAATATGGATTTGCTTATTTCTAAACACTCTCCATTTTCCTTGTGTGTTTTGTCATTCTAGTCACATTTGAAATGTGGAAACAGAATGTAATTAAAATTTCTTCTCTTTTTAGTTAGAAGTGAGGCT